GAACTTGTTGGACAGTTTATCACGGAACTTGTTGGAGTTGTCGGGAGGATGAACTTCCCTGCCGAGTTGAAGAGGGGAAGGACGTGTTAACTCCTTCCCCCAAAAAACTTATAATCTTTTACAAGAGGGATCGGCAGCGGACGCCAAGAACACGGTATAGATACGGATGCGGTAGATACAGTTGCGGCAGATACGGTTGCGGCGGACCGCGACATGACGACGGGCGTGGCTCATTCAAGGATGTGGTTATTATATTTTGTCTTGTGTCCCTAATTCGTCCTCTGGCAAAAATTTCTACGTGTGTGTGTGACGATGAGAAATGTTTTATGTGGATGTCGAGGCTCAACTGCCGTGTTGGACTGTCGGGGAAACTAAACTAAAACGTTTTTCTTTTTCACGGGGCCACACACTGTTGACATTTCAGAGGAACCAAACATGTTTTCCTTCACTTTCCTATTTATAGCAAGAAGTCTGTGGGTTGTAGGAAATGTGTGTGTGTGGATCCTAGGTGACATGAAAAGAAAATGTAAATGTTTTCATAGGGTGATGACGGGAAATTAGTCGATCTTGAAAAATACCACGAACATGACCGCTCAGTCGTATAAAACATTCTTCAGACACGAGTGAATAAACCTAACCTATCAACATTGCTCCATAGTCGTGTCAGTATTCGTGTTTGATCCATCGCAGGTTATGGTTACCGGTTTAAACACCATTCGTCCCTCCTGATCTTGCCTTGAACCATTCGACATTCAGAACCAGTTATAGTGGTCGATATAACTTTAATTAATAACTTATACTTTATTTTTGTCTCCATCATAAACTTAGTAGTGTACAGAGGTCACAGGTGTAGTTGTGGAATATAAAGTGCTCGCCTCAAGTGCAGACAGCAAGTTGAGTCTGGCTACAACCTTGAGGCATTGACAACACTTTAAGACGGGTAACTCGGTCTGCGCTATGTACGAGACCAGAAGACTCCTCGCTCCAGAAGCAGACGAGTGTGGTAAGGACGAGTGTGGCGAGTGAAGGACAGTGAGCATGGCAAGGCGGGTGTTCGGCGGCGAGACAGCTTGGGTAGGGGCGTGTGTGTGTGTGTGTGTGTGTGCTGGATTCCACTCAAATTTTCAGCAAGTGATTTTGATTTTGTGGTGGTGAAGTACTTGCTTCGTATTAGAGCTTGTTTATATTAGTGTTTGCTGCTGCTGTCAGTGATTTGTAATTATTCTGTTTACTTATACACAGACAGACAGTTACAGAGACGCACACACATACATACAGGTACACATTTTCTTGGCAGTATCAGAATACTATATGAGGCAATTTTTTTCCTTTAGTTTGTCCTGAAACCTGGCCTCAATAATTGTTAAGATAACTTTCTCCTGGAGGCTTACTGTGTCCTTCATGTTAGTGGCGCCAGGTAACATTATTTACTTGATACCGCTAGTGTGTGTGTGTGTGTGTGTTTGGAACTGCCTCGTGTTGGGCTGTCATTGAGGTTTACCGTGTGTGGAAATTCCTGGTTTTATTTAATTTTGTATTTAATTTTTGCACTGAATTTTTTGCGAGTATTCAACCTTTTCTCAACTTGGGGTATTGGTAATTAATTTGTTGTTCCTCTATTTAAGTATTTACAGGTGGTGCTTGTGGTAAGAATGCAACTTTTTTTTAGTGTCTAAAACATTATTACTCACAGATATATTTACGAACTATCCCGAGCCGCCACAGGTATGTTGTGTTCAAGGTTTGCGGTAAATTTTAACGAGAGCACGATGCTACCTCCGTCGACTTGACTATGCTACTGGTGAGGCGTCATCCTTCCCGCAGCTTCTGGAGGGATGCCATCTCTAGACATGGGCTGCGAAATCTCAAATATTCGTGCATTAGTTTTCTTCGGGCTATTGTAGTATCCTGATAAATAACAGTTAAGGATGATACGATACATTTCAGGAATTTTGTTTGATTTAAAATATTAATAAAGTCTAGGTCACGAATGTTTGAGGGGCCGGGACCGTTTCTTTCACCTGGGTTTTAGTTGTGATTCTGCAACAGCTGAAGACCGTCCTGGTTCACCTATTATTTATGGTAACTTCCATGTGTGTGTGTGTAGGGGGGGGGTGTGTGGTCGTGGTGGTGATCGTCCCTCGCGGATCAATAAGGCTTTTAGAGGCTAATTTTAGTGCACAGTACACATGCACCCTCATACATCCAGCCACACAAGTGTACTCACTTTGACACCTATACACATACTCGCTCACCCACACGTACACATACCCAATCCCACGTACATCCACACTCATGCGCTTACATTCACTCATATACATCATCACACACATTCCCACACAAATGTACAATCAAAGACAAAAGTCGTGTCGTGGTTTTGTCCGAAGATTAAATATAACTCTTGAAACATTATGAGAGCCCTACCACAAGGCAGAGCGCACCAAAAGTTTAGCCTTTCGGCATATGTTTTCACCAAATTTCACGACACGACTTGTCTTTCATTGTACACATGCTACACACGTATACTGTACTTACATTAGACACGCACTGGCGCGCAGACGCATGCATCCACACATGCATGCATACACAAAAAGTCATGCCATACACATTGACCACACATCATATCAGGCACAAAAACGCGAGGCAGGAACACCCGCAACGAAACTTGTGTGTTTATCTTTGGGTACACGTGCAAACTGTAGTTCCCAGTTGTAGAGACAATAATGAAATTTTTTTTTTTTATAAATTTTACAATTTACATATATACTGTATACATATTATTACATATTAACATATTTGTAAGTGAAATATTTGGATGACTTTTCTTTTAAAATACACCTGATCATCTATTTATTATAATATATCCTGCCTTTAATAAAGGCTATAGTCTCCTTAACATTATAATTTTCTTTCCTACTTAACCACATACAGTAAATGTAATCTGACATTAGCATGATCATTGTATTCTTATCCTTATTATCACTACAGTTAATATTAAACATTAAGAAATGTAGAAATAATTTGCTATTGACATTGCAGACTGTATTCAGGAGATTTTTAAACCATTTAATTATCTCTTTGTTATGGAAACAGAAGTAAAATACATGTAATGGATATTCTACCTCACCACATCTTACACAACTATCATCTTGTTTTATGTTTAACATTTTTAGTCTCTGATTTGTTGGTAGAGTTTCATGAATAAACCTATATATGAAGCCTCTCTGGTGAGGATCCATATATTTACAAGTAATATTTTCCCAAATAAAAGGCCATTTAAACAGCGGATACTTTTCTTCAACTGCAGGTTTTGTCCATATTAACATATTGTATACATCTTTATTCTTGACATTTGGAAAGTTATGATGCCTTGCTAACCTTCTTAGAGTATTGATCGCAATACTATAATAAGGTGGAGACAAGTAGGAAACATTATCCGTAGGTTTCATTTCTAATAGATAGCTGGTCCTTATACTTGTATAATATGGAGTTAAAGATTTCCTCTTTTCATGGTCTGAAGCAATTTTTATGAAAGTTGTACATAATATAGCAGCTGCTTTACAAAACACATTAACTACGCCAATACCACCTTGTTTGACAGGTAAATACAGAGTTTGTCTTTTAATTGGCTGGTACATACCACTCCATATGTATTTAAAAATACATGATTCAATTTTCTGTGAGTAAATTTTATTTAATGGAAATGTATGGGATAGGTACCATACCTTGGACAAAACTTTTGAGTTCACAATAATTGCTTTTTGGTACAAGGATAATTTTATGTTTGATAAACAATCAGTAATGCTGATATTTTCCAAGATTTTGTTCCAATTCATATTAACAGTGTGTTCGTAATCTTCATAATATATAGTGCCTAAAATTTTGGAATATTCTGCTGATCTCATCCACAGCACAGGCCATAAATCTCTCTTCCACTCACCCAAGCCCATAATACAGTACTTGTTTTAAACTAGACCCTCCATGAGCACTCGCCCTTCTACACTTGGCATTAATGTACATCTATACACTTGGGAACGCTTGTCGATGGTGGACCAACCCTAAGGTGGATCAGCATCCTGCAAAAACGTAGGGTAACCTACTAGCTGCTGAATCTAAGAGATTTATCAACACTTGTCTGGCCACCCTGCATTGTAACACGAAAAGGCTTTTAAGCTTATGAGGTTGACGGTGGTACAGCGGTTGCGCGAGTGTCTTTCACCATTGTAATTCGTGATATCCCCTTTGGTGAGATGTGAGTAGGGTAGGATCATTAGGACGTTGTCTAATGTGACCCTCTGAATGTCACAGGGTGTTTCCAGGCCGGTTACCTCCTGTATCTTTAGTGGTTTGTATGACAAAACTGATACCCCGGTACTCCATTTGTACTTGGTTCTTCATAAGAGAAATTTTATATCAATAAACCTTTCCTGCTGGTTACAGCTGATTAATATCAAGCTACTGAAGGTACAGTACGATACAGGTAATTATACAATTATAATACGTTATTTATAAAGTCACTGGCGTATTATGTTTATGGATTGTAATTAGAATAAAATTTAAAGATGTTTGTTAGGACAAGACGACACGGGAAGACATAATCAGGGGCGGATCCAGGAGTATAAATAGGGGGGTCCAAAAAGTTGTGGGAGGGGGAACATGGCGAACACAGCGAGCCCACCCAGCTGGGGGGTTTAAGGGGGGGGGGGACGATGTAAGCCCCCACGATTTTTTTTTTTAATCTGACCAATATCATTGGCATTTTGAGGCCATTTTGAAACCATGTGCACTTAATATTAGGAGATATTTTGGAAGTCAACGGTAATTATTTTTTACTTTACAAAAACGTCTGAGTACAATACTGCATTAAAGAAAAAGCGTTGGAATTTTCTGATGAAAATGCTGGACCCACCCCTGATAACCTCATTTGTTTGTTATCTTGTCAACATGAACACTGATGACTGCCATTCTTGTTGACGGGTCGCGTCTTGTTCCTCTGGCAGGTGGAAGTTTTGAGGCGGACGAGTACGGCGGCAGCGACGGTGAAGGAGAGGCGATGACGGGGCTACGACAGAGGCTGCTGGTGGAGGGGTGGAGCGGCACTTGGAACCGCATGTCCCGCACCAAGAAAGTGGCCACCGATGTCATGGAGACGCCACTCAATAGGTGCCTCTCCACCCTCGACATCACACTCTTAGGTCCGTGTCGCATCACTCTCACGTAAGATTTCTGGTAGATAATCCCATTTATTGTAAGTTTGTTACTGTTTGTATCCTTAAAAGGTTAGAATGTATTTTAAGTTTTCCTCAGATAAGCCAGACATGGAGCTTTGACTAATATCCAACAGGAATTAAGCCAAAATTTAGGTAAAGAATATTACACTGTCAGGAATTGTTCAGAAATGGATGTTATGGATTTTAGATCACAGTATGAATAATTACAAGTAGAATTGTCAGTTGTGGAGGAGCGATATACTGAACCTGTTGTTGCTGTGGCAGGTATTGGGCACATGGTGGGGGCGGGAATCTATGTCCTGACGGGCACAGTGGCCAAGGACACGGCCGGGCCCGCCATTATCCTCTCCTTCCTCCTGGCGGGGTTTGCTTCACTACTCTCCGCCCTGTGCTATGCCGAGTTCGGGGCCAGGGTGCCTAAGGCCGGGTCTGCCTACGTCTACACCTACGTTACCATCGGCGAGTTCTGGGCCTTCGTCATTGGCTGGAACATTGTCCTCGAACATATGATAGGTATGTTTCTTCTCTGTTTTGGGGCTCTGTTGTATATCTATTAATTACAGTATATTACTTTTTGTTTAAGGGGTTTTGTGTGTGTGTGTGTGTGTGTGTGTGTGTGTGTGTGTGTGTTCAGTATGTGTGTAAATTTGTGCCTATAAATCTGTGTAAATAATGCGTTGTAGGTGTCTGAACTGTGTGTTTATAAAGGTAAAAATATTTTGTACAGTACGTATCTGAAATTTACATTTTATTTAATATTTATGTATCACCAGACTCACCTGTATAAAATTTACTCCTTGCATTATATAATTTTTGCACATTTATGCATATTACAGTACATGTATACAGTATAATCTTATTTTCTCCTGATACACTTACTTTAATCAGTTATTCACTATCATTTAAACTACTGTACTACAGTATGTCCCTGTTTACTCTTTAATGTTCACACTCCCCCAGTGTCATACCTGTACAGTACCTACATAGTATAAGTGTAATTCTGCAAGTTTCTATAATCTTTGGCAGTATTGGTTTGCTAACTTGTTTATTAACACTACAGTACCTGTAGTTGGGGTGGCAAGTTGGTAAATCAGGTAGGTATGTAAATTTGATGAGATGCTTACAATCACTTGTGTTTTATATAGACCATATTGGATTTATGTAAAATTGTACCACTGGTATGAAGAATTCCATAACTACTTATGTTACTATGACTGTGTATGGATGAAGTACAGTAATAGTTATATCATCATCACAGGTGCAGCATCAGTGGCCCGGGCTTGGTCAGGCTATGTGGATTCTCTTTTTGATGGTGCTCTGAGCAATGCAACAATGACCCACATTGGTGTGCTGCACGCTGGCCTCCTCGCACCCTACCCGGACTTCCTGGCCTTCGCTGTGACACTGGCCTACTGTGGTTTTCTCACTATGGGTGTCAAGGGTTCAGCTTACTTTAATTCAGTTTTTACCCTCATCAATCTTTGTGTCATGGCATTTGTAATTGTGGTTGGTATGACATATGCAGACATTGCCAACTGGTCAGCAGGGGATGGGTTTATGGCATATGGAGTCTCGGGAGTAATTTCTGGAGCTGCTACCTGCTTCTATGCCTTTGTTGGCTTTGACAGCATAGCCACAGCAGGTGAAGAGGCCAAGAACCCAGCCAGGTCTATTCCCAGAGCCACACTTGTATCCATGAGTGTAGTGACGGTCGGTTACGTCTTGGTGGGTGGCACACTCACCCTTATGGTGCCTTACTACAACCTAAACCCTGCTGCTGCCCTCCCTGATGCCTTTGCTGTCCATGGTGCTAACTGGGCCAAGTATGTGGTGAGTGTGGGTGCCCTTTGTGGCATGACCACCACACTCTTTGGCTCGCTCTTCAGTCTTCCACGCTGTGTGTACGCCATGGCTGTAGATGGTCTCCTTTTCTCCTGGTTGGCTCGTGTCTCGGATAAAACAAAGGTATGAATTACGTATAAAACTATCGACAACAGTTATGGAGTTTATTGTGTAGTACTTATAATTTTAGAAGTTGAACTTATGTACAGTATTAAGTCACAATTTCCTATACAGGTACCTATTTGTCCATTGGTGAATTACAAAACAATATTACCAATTGAGGTACAGTAAAACATTCTGGAGCCAAAGGTTATGGAAAGTTATTGATGGCACTACAGTTTTGTTGGCTAATACTTGCACAGTGTCAGGTAACACTTTATTTTACACTTTAATTATTGATACTGTACTGTACTTCAATTTTACAGCAAGGATACACACATTATAAAATTAAGTAAAAACATTAATATATTGACTATATTGTACTGGTATGTGTTAACTTGTTTCATTTTTTGCCCAGGTGCCCATCATCACCCTTATGCTGTGTGGCTTTTTCTCAGCACTCATCGCTCTTCTCTTTGACATTGAGAAGCTGGTGGAGTTCATGAGCATCGGTACCCTCATGGCATATACCATCGTCAGTGCCTCCGTCATCATCCTGCGTTACCAGCCCGCCTCCAGGTGATCCTTGATTAAAGATGCACTGAAATTGTAACAGGAGTAGTAGGTAGATTGTGTCAAGGGTTTGAGTCCTACTTGGCCTTGGACACACATGAGAAAGGTGTTATCTAGTGTGACCCAGCCAAACACCACAGGCTTCCTCCAGGCATAATACAGCACATTGGTTTCCTCCTGTACAAACACTGGACAGATCCAACTGAATGAAAACATTATTTTAATAAGAGAGTAAATAAGATCTACTGTATTGAAATATGTACGGAAAAGCTGGAAAGGAATCATATTGGTATAGATTGTATTTAAAGAACAATATTTTATGCAATTTACTAGTTTGCTTTACATCTGATAAGAAGTTGGTCCCAGGCTATGGATGTTATTTTGTTGTGTTATTTTGTAAGGAAGTAAAATGTGGTTGTTGATCAGTTGTATGAGGGAAGACATCCTGACAGTGAGAAGTTGTCTATTGTCACTTCCAACACAGTCCTCTTCATCCTCTTCATTATCTATTGTGTCATTGTAGGATGCTTGGGAATGTCAATTATCCATCTCCTGTGGTTGATACATATTGGTATTTAGTTTGAATATTGTTGGAGGGTTTCAAATGAATTCTTTTCAATAGTAGTCTCTCCACGAGTCTACAGTACTGTGCTGTATATCCAAATGGAGTTTAATTTCTAGCATGTGAAATTATCCCAAAGCTCTTTTTACTATATGTACAGTCAAGACCAGAAATTACTGTACTTTTACCCCTTCAGTGTCTTAACAATATGACAAACTAGTGTTTCGAAATGGGATTTAAAAAAAAAAAACAGGGATAAGGCAAATGACGTCGCAGTCACCCTTACCAACCCTATCGAGACGACAGGAGAGGTAGTGTTCATTTTGAAATCCATCGAACCAAGAGAGAATAGTAATTTATGGTATGACTGTACACATCTGAATAAATCTGTCAAGTAATAGGATTTTTGGTACAATATACTTTGAGCTTGACTGATTTATTGTTGGTGGTTATCGTTGCTGTAGGTGATTCATCTGCTGTGGATGATTATTCTTCATTTATTCATAGTTTCTACAACACACAACTTGTAATAGTTAATGTGATTCAATAATTTCTTGCAGATGTAACATAAAGAGTCCCTCACACAAGCAGGCCACACCTACTCCTGGAGCTCTGCCCACACCTACCACACCCATGGATGACCTGGGCAAAGTGAGTTGTATTGTAAGGCCTTCACCACCTAAAACAGTCACAATGTCATTTCTTTAGACCATACTGTACATGTGGTGTACCAATGGTAAAATGTCAGATACTTTGATTGACCATCTATGATCACCTTATCACTATAAAGTGACAGTCGATCTGAAGTACAGTTCCATAAATCCCCCCATATTTTCCTTAGTAGTTTGGTAAATGGCAAAGAGGTCTTAATTTATTGGTACTATACTCTCACACATAGTACACATCAAAATAAATAACTGCAAAAATATTTAACCTACGACAGTACAGTACGGTACAATACTTGGAGACCTAATTATATATAACCAGTACTTTTAGTACACTTAAGTTTTACATCATCAGCCTCCATGGTGCAGTATAATATCATTTTTTTTTTAACAAATGAAGATCTGGATATACGTGTATGTACAAACCTGAAGCCTTTATCCTGAATGAACATATGTGACTAAAGTAAGGTCCCAGAATAGGCAGCTTAAAAATGTGATATAATATTGTAGTAGAATCATGATGCCTTCCTTTTTGTCCAGGCTGATGGTGAGGGAGGAGAGTTAAGGTCATCATGCCGCTGGTTGCTACCACTGGTGGGGCAGCGGGAGGAGGGAGTGGTGGTGACCTGGGCGGTGGTCATCTTTACCATGTCCAGTTCTGCTCTCTCTTGTCTGTGGCAGTTTGGTGGCAACTTCCTTGCTTTGCCATACCCATCTGCCTGGGCAATTATACTTGCTGTTTTGATAACCTTTTTATTGATCTTCAGTGAGTACAGTACTGTATAACAATTACTTTTTTCTCTCTTACATTCTTTTGATCATTGGACTGAAATCAAAACCAACCTGATGTACAGTATTAATTGTGAACAAAATTTAAATATTGTAAGTCTCTTCAGTTTTTTCTTGAGAGGATAAAGGTTTCATTAGTAAATAAAAGTTAGGTTTGTGATTTGTGATAAATACACAGTACGTATACTTTAAAGTTTCATATTCTTGATTCAAATTTCTAGAAAAAATTACTGTACAGGGTAAATAGAATTTGTAATGCAATCACTCATAGATTTGAAGTCGTATATTTATTTCCTTTTGGGAATCACTGATGAGAGAGGATTCACACACAAAACTGCTGTATACTGTATATGTTCATGCCCTCACCCTAATACTGTACTGTACTCGGCAGGTGTGGTGTTAATTGTAGCCCATCGCCAGAATCACATTATTTTGAGCTTCAGTGTGCCGCTGGTCCCTCTCGTTCCCCTCGTCTCGATCTTCTTCAATGTGGCTCTTATGGTCCACCTCAACCCCATGACCTGGATCCGGTTTGTTGTCTGGATGGTTATAGGTAAGAACTGGTCTTGTCTGGATGGTTATAGGTAAGAACTGATCTTGTCTGGATGGTTATAGTTAAGGACTGATGTTTGGATGGATATAAGTTATAGCTCATCAAATGAACCTCAGTCATCATGGTTATTGGTACTTTAGAATGTCTTAATGGTTCTGTATGGCCTGTAACCTATCAGATAATATATTAAATAAATAAATAAAAGTGATGATCAAAACCCTGGTCTCCTCCCCTACAGGTCTTCTGGTGTACTTCATATATGGTCAGCATCATTCATGTGAGGCTGAGCCAGTCAGCAGCTACTCCACCTTACTGACAGAACCAACACCCGCAGGCAATACCGTCTTTGGCTCTGTCCAGCACACGCTCTCCCACGTCACCGCCAAGATCGCTTCTGCTGCCACTGAAGACAAGAAACCGATTGTTGATCAAGAAGAGTTAGGGGACAATGACTTGTAAATAGCCCCTTTTGTTAATAATATGAGGTACAGGTATAGGATGAAGACTTGTAAATAGGCTAGATGGTCAACAAACTGGACTGCAAAATCTTTCTTTCTTCTCTTTAAGCATATAACCTGAACCTCACCAGACCTGAGGATAATAGATTAGTCTTGGTTGTTTGAGTAAATTTGATATGTTGTACAGCACCTGAAAAATTATTAATTTGGCAGTCCAGTGTATGGTAATATATTTTAACATTGACCATCTTGCTATAACATGGCTCCACCAAGATTTAAGTCTCTCATTTGATCACAAGGTCTTTTAAGTTTGTCATCAGCTAGGAGAATGTAGTTCTCTCAGGTGACAACAAAATCATTTAAATAATTTGTCTCTTAACCTAACCCAAATGTTGAGCTGTATTGTTGCCCTTAATAACCAAAAGTACGCAATTGATGTAAATCATAAATGTTGTTGATAAATTGTCAGGTTTAGTTGTGATATGAAGAAGATATTCCTTGTATTGTATATTCTCTCCTTTATATTGTTTGTCTGTACATGTATTTTACATTTAATAGACCTTTTGATCTGTAGTAATTTTATGAAAATTCATAGCCAGATATTAAGAAAATGTGATATCAAAAACAAAGTCATAATGAGTAAAGATATAGAAATAAAATGTTTATATTTTAAATATATTTGTCAGAGTCTTAAGAATGTACCAATACTCAACTTAATAGTTCAGTGGTTGAGAGAACTGTCAACAGTTGTGTCAAGTCATGATTCATATACAATTATAATAGTTGATATTCACTCAGTTTGACCAAGGACAGCTGACAAAGCCATGAGATGCTTGTTTCCAGTAGAGTCCTGATGCCAGCAGCATCTGGTGTTGTTAGGGCCAGTTGGTCACCCATCCAAGCACTAACCAGACCCAACGTTACCTAACATTTCTGATCGGACAAGAAGCAGTGTTTCCAACGTGGTACTACTCTGGTAAGTCTGTTTTTTAATTTAAAGAAAGTAGACATTAGAGGAATGGAAACCCAGGTAAAGATTAGTTGTAGATTTTATTTTTTATATAAAATAAATTCTAAGTACTGTATTATGATACAGTACTTAACACTCAACCTTGACCTTGGTGTTTTGCATGTGTGGTGAAGTCATTAATTCTGGCCATACTGTATAATGTTTTTATTGAAGTACATACTGTATAGAGTCCCTGTTAAATTTTCATCGCTGAAAGAATTAAGTTGCAGTTCATATAAGCTGCCCCAACTATTCTGATTAGGGCCCTTTGAGATGGGTGCCCATTAGGACTGAAACCCATTAAAACTTATGCAATCAAATGGGTTGGTCAGGACTGGGTCAATTATGACAAGGTCCCTTAAAATGAGGCTTAATTCTGAATCTTAGGAATTATTAGGACTGGAACCCATTAAGACTGGGCATAATTCTATTTGTTAGGTAAGGCCCTATTTGAAGTGGGGCTCATTTGACCTAGGTATATTGACTATCGGGTTCATTTAAAACAAAAGCGTCTGTAGGGAACTATAAAATAAAATTTATTTTAGACATTACACTACAATAACTCTCATAATTAATTGAAACTAATTCTGTTTTTAATGACTATTACTTGCACTACGATATAGATGATGTATATGTTGGAACCAGTGCATCCTTTTATAAGCTACAGTGATTTTTTTAAGAGATACTTTTTAACATAAGAGGACTAGCCTATACACTGTACTATGAATTGATTACAGTTCAAATAACTCGCAGTTAATAGACCACAACCTAACCTACCCATTGGAACTCCAGTATTGCACATTATGATTGAAGCCCATTTGAATTATGGTCTATTTGGAATTTTGAGTACTAGTAATGCTAGAGTGGAACAATAATTAGTTATACAAATACAGTAGATGAAGACCTCGGCAGCACACCTAAGTGACCTCGGTAAATAAAGTCTAAAATACCACATTAAAACACATCTCTGGACTATCTCAAATCTCTTGCAAATCATTACTTGTGCTTTGTTGATCTTGCTCATTAATTTTTTAAAAAATTTTCTCACTGAAGACAAGAAATTGTCATAAGTATGCCCACATTTTCATTCAATTTTAGATATGACTAGTTATTGCAAATTAAAAAATGTCTTTATTTTTTTATTATTATTATTAATCACAGCTACGGATCTTGGACTGATGTGACGTAAAATATGTGTATTGTATTGGATATTACCTGATATAATTGTCATGACTAGTAGATTATGAATACTGTACACTAACTTGTTATGGTATGTTAGTCTTCTTTAATATCTTTCAATCTGATTTTATTTTACAGATTTAGAAATTTAGTGTTCACTTTGCATAGATCATTAACCTCTTTGCTGCATAATTAAGATATATCTGAATAAAATTTTATTCCCACTGATTGCAAAGTTCAGGTTAACCTCACAGCTATCGAAAACAATTCTCTCTGTTGTGACTTTCGGTAATATCCTTGTGTCCTTGAAATAACCAGTAAATCTGTGTGTTTGTTGCCCTCTATGTTCTATGCCATGAAAACTGGAGGTCTTGTGGTGGCCTGTGGTCCATTGAACATGTACAGTATGAAATGTTTAGTTCAACACAGGTAAGGTTCTGTGGAAAATGCATACTGTACTGTTCATACTACACTGTTACTTTTTTCACCCTGTCAATGGCAACCTACCGGGTAACTATCTTCTTGTTTAAATATTCTCAATTAAGAAATGCCACTACAGGTCAATATTCCTTCTTAAGCTATGCACCTGCACAATAATAGATCAAGGCCCGAGCACACATCGTCGGTGATTAAATCTCAAGACGTTCACTTTATTAACTACTTTTTCATATTTTTCCTGTTCCTTGCATATCTTTAGTAACTTTAAAACAATATTGTAGTATTTTACCTCCATATACAGTAAACCCTCCCAACATTGGATTAGTTCACGCAAGTTCTGTCTGTTATTGGGAGGAGTCCCTTAAGAGAGGCACTGTGCCTAAATAGTCAACTTCTGATCCTCAGGGGAACAGGAACACAATTTTTCAGTTTACAGTTTAAGTATCTTTGGTCACATCCAATATTTACTGTAGACGACACCACAAGTTGTTGGTGGTACAGCAATAATGCCTGTATCCCTCACCAATATGTCAAGGATCCGAGTCCTGCTTGGCCTGGACACATGTGAGATGTATGCTAGTCTAGTTAGGGTTTGTTTTATCAACAAGTGTTCCTAATAGTGTACTAATTAATGGGTTGTGAACTAAACCTGTGACTGTTACTGTACTTGTGAAGTGAATGATCTACCAGCTACATTATGAGATCATTTTATTATTTCCCTTTTCCAAGTGACCATTCTGGGAACCTTTGCTCATGAAATTTTGAATTTCAATTGGCATACTAGTACAGTATTATATTTTCATTATTTTATAAGTTTGAATTTTCAAAATTCAATTCTTCTTAATACTGTACAGTAGTAAAAAGCCTGTGGGTCCTTGTTACAGGTTGACAACCCTTTATCCGAAATTCTGAAAACCGAAAAAAATTTTGGAGCATTTTTTTTTTTGTGGTATTAGCCCACCCGGGCACATGTCACTGACCCACATCGGGGCCTGGGGGGTGAAAATGTAATAATGATAATTATAATAATACAGGTAATAATAATAATGATAATGCAGTAATAATAATAATTATTCATAGTAAATAAAATTTTTAATAAAAAATACACAAAAATAAAATAAGAATGATAACATTAATGATAGTAATAACAATAATACTATAATAATGAAATAATAATAATAATAATAAAGAATTACAAGAATGAAAAAAAAGATCAAAAGTGAGAAACATGACCTAGACCTATGAATTATTATTATTATTATTATTATTATTATTATTATTATTATTATATTTTAGCCCCAATGTGAGTCAGTGACCTGCTGTGCCCGGGTGGGCTGATCCCTGTTTTAAAAAAAAAAAATTCTGAAATCCGAAAAATTCAAAAAACCGAAATGCATCTGGTCCCAAGGATTTCGGATAAGGGATTGTCAACCTGTATTATTGTATTACTATTTTAATAACTTAATCTCTATATCTGTGAACAGGTAGTTGTGATCTGAGTGTAAATGTATGTATTTAATGTTTATATTTTCTATAATAAATCCTTGTATAAAATATTTAGTATTTTCATGTAATGTACTCAAGTCCTGAGGTAATTATTCTTTCGTTGTCGGCTTCTTCCTCCTGGAAAAGGAGGCAGTTAGTCGAGGATTTTGTGTTCCTGGTTTTAGGGTAACTTAACATAACATAACCATTAAAACTGTCACCCATTGGATAGTCCTTGTTCAAACAATAACAGTATCATTGTGTTGTACAGGTATCTCTTAATAGCATTAACCATTAAGCATGGCAAGACCTCAGTTCTGGAGATTAGGTTCAACTAATTATCTGGTATACTGTTGATACTGTTATGTTATATGATACACAGTTCAGTTGGTCTCTATACCCTGTCAAAACTTCTCTATTCGCCTACTTCCTTTCTGAGAGGATGACTGTCGTCACACTGTAGAAACCAGCATAGATGTATGCAAAGACTATAGCAAAAGGCAATCCATTTATATAATGCAATAAATATACTGTATATCCGGTATCCTTAACTAATCTATTACCTGTGTGAGTATTTTTAGACGGTTATATAGGACTATTATGAGAGACAGAAGTTAAGTTAACATTTATTATACAAAGACGATGATTGTAATCTTATTTTATACACCAAGACAAAAGTTTTCCAAGTTCACAAAACTATTTCTACTTCACATATTACTGTACATACAACCCCCCACATTCCGTCCCACTGATGGAGTAACCTAACCCACTGTTAATGAGATCTACTGATCTTTTTTAAACTTGGCCTATACTGTATGTATCAGAGTACACAAAGAATATTACTGAACCTTAATTTTTTCACCATAATATTTCCATTTACTGTACTTAATTGGAGATGGTCACTCTCACCACTTTTTCAATAGGCATAGAACCTGAATTTTTTCTTGATGTTTAGTATGTATGTATAATTATTTAATTTATTTTTATTTTATGTGCAGTGTAGTGTATAATTGCAGCTTCCTTTTAAGTTAATTTATTTTAATTATTATATGAAGATTTTTTTTTTATTGTAGAGCCTTCGATCTAAACCTTTCACACAATGTGTATACTGTACTGTATCTACTATGTACACCATCTTCGTTTAATGATGACTCACCGTGCGACAACACCATTTCAGTACTGTATAATAATTCATCAGACAGGATTTGCTGAAATTAATTACTGAGGAGCACGTTTTTCTCTTTAACTTCAATTACATTATACAAATTCTCTACTAAACCATGCAATTTTCTGACAGTGCAATCCACCACATCATTTTGAAAGGGTGATCATGCAACCTTACTCAAACTTGGATTACAAGTTTTTCACTATGCATATTACCTGTAATTTTTTTTCTTTTTCACCCTTCTGTCTAACCTTACCCTGCAACTGACTGACTCCATATTCAACTCTAACCTGCACCTAAATATCTTGGCCTGTAGCCCCATATTATACCTACCGTAGATAACTCAACATACTGTATAACTCCATCCTAAATACTTAATCATATGAAGCAACCCTATTGATTAGCTTGTGTAATTTGAGTGTAGTGACCCCACCTTTCATTATATTGTAGTATGGAACCTCACCCCACGAGTTACTCTTTAACCCTTTCACTACGAGGACGCCACTTTTAGTGTTTTATTTGGGTGTCTTGATTTTATCCAGTTCAGATGGGAACCAGTACATAAGGGGTTAAGAGAGAGAAACCCGTAAAACTCATAATAACAATAGAACTAGAATGAAAAAATGGGATAGTATTTGAGAACAAACCCAAAACATTTATATTCAAAGTTCTCATATTGTAATAACACATTTGAGCTAGTTAGGCAAGTGGTCAATTAAGCAATAATAGTTCCCAACTTAACCTGACCATTAGTCTTACAACCCAGTCTTATTGGGGAATAATTTAGATTGGTCCTGATCTTAATGGTTAGGTCAGGATGGGACCTATTGCATCAGAAGTTGATTTGTCTTTTAACCAGACAAATTATACTTACTTCTGTCCCATTGATTTGATATTGTTGCTTGCTCCAGTATCCTGTGCTCACAAAGTATTTAAACATTCTTGGATGCCTGTCAAATATTGTTCATAATGCGAGACTACAAATAGCATCAAAATGAGTCTCTCATTCATATATTAGGAATATTGTCTCGGTGTATCACTCAATAAACTATAGCAGCATTGTAATTTGTGTATGTGTAACAGCTGCATCTTGGGAAGAAGACAACCTCACCCACCATAAGTTTGGTTCTATTAATATTCAACACAGTACCCTAAATTTTTGTTTGGAAAGGTTCATAGTAACATGAATATCAAGGTTATAAATACTATCAACATTAAAAGATCGAATTATGTTTCAATCTTTATGTGGATTTTCTTTATAATATTTTCGTGCTGTATGGTGAATGTCAAATAAATGAGAAAGTAAAGGCGTTGTTTTGTTAAACGTAATTAGGTTTAGACGGTTTGTTTCATCTGCTATAATGCTAAGATTTAGCTCGGTAGTATAGGATCTGATTTCCACATGCAGTGTTAAGAAAAAATCCCATACTACCAAAAAAAAATTTGTCCAGCAAAAAGCAAGTGAATAATGTAGTAATACTTCTGATAGATTTAACATGAACTGAACTGCTTCCTTGTAGTGAACAAGCTGAAATACAGAGATGAAAAAAAAATGTTGGAGGAAGAGTTCCAAGAAAAGTACAGTAATTATTTTTTTTTATAAATCTTATTATTATTAAAATAATCATCATAATAAATATTGACTAAGAATCGCCAGTTATGCATGTCACTTTATTCTCTTCACTGATCGGCCTATCAGCTGCTTCGACGATCAGTCACATCTCTGTTTCACACTGAAATCACAGAACAGTTATTTAACTTATCATTAAGGTAAAGTAAGGTCCTGATGCTTCTTATTGGAGCTGACTTCATCCCAACTTTCTCTTGCCTTAAGTTTTTTATTTTCCCTTTCTACTTAGGGCCTACTGATGCAACACTAGGGAAGGGGAAATACCAAGGGATTGTTGTCTGAATAAACTAATTGCCACTGCCTATGTTTATATGTTATTGGTGAATCGGCGTTGTCAGTACAGTACTGTACTGTATATTAAACGTAAAGTTATTTAATAAATACCTTTATTGTAGCTGGTAGGGGATGGATTGACGAGTGTGGAAATATGTGAGGAAGACAGAGGTAGTAGGTAGTAGGCAGCTATCAAACAGGGAGGTACTACCGCCTGGGAAGATATTGGAAGCATAATGTGTTGTCTAATGGTAGACCCTGCTGCTGTATGGCATCACGAAAATTGTGACCAAGTCCTTGGTTGCTGATTTCACTTTCTGCCTCATTTACACACAATTGCAGGGTCTCAATTGTTTCTCTTACTTTGACAACATAACATACATATATCGTTTCTCATCCTTGATTTTTTTTATTATTATTATTACTGTTGTATTTTCGCCCGCCCTGGCCTCGATGTGGGTCAGTGACCTGTTCTCGGGTAGGCTAATCCCCGTAAAAAAAAAAGTAATTCAGTATTTGTTATATGCCGTCCTGTATACTGTATATACCTATATTGGAGACGGTAGCGAGGGAAAAGGGTCTATGATGACAGGCTGTATAGTTGGGAGGGGGGGGAGGGCTCAGTCTATGATAACAGGGGCAGCGTAATGTATAGGTGAGCGGCAGAGCGGGCAGGTGGTAAGGGAAGCAGAACAGGTGCTACAGGTGTTGAGGTGAGCACACGGCATGAACACGGCGGCGACGGGGCGGTCCAAGCACACTCGGCACGTCAATGCTTCTCTTGCTTCATCCAGACGAACCTCTAACGCCCTCTTCTCCGCTTCAAGTGCCGCCAAATCCGGGACGTTGAGGGCAACTGTTGACACGGGATCAGAGATAAAGAAGATCACATGATAATTAGGCATCCCAGCTTATTTCACCTGATAATTGAAACACCCTCAAGCTAACCTAACCTAATCTAACTTAATCTTACCCCCTAGGTTGCGTTAGGGTGTTTAATGATCAAGTGAAATAAGCTGGGGAGGCTTAATATTCAGGTGATCCAATAAAAATACTCGGGTACCGTAATAGTATATAAATACGGATAGTCGTAAAGTTAAGGATAGTTCATTGCTTGATCCCGACTACCTAAACCTCCATGATGGTCGGTAAGATGGTGGGCGTGATGGTAGTTATGATGGTGAGGGCGGGCGTAATAGTAGGCATGATGGTGAAGGTGGGCGTCTTACCTGAGTCAGTTTGGGGTGAGACTCCCAGGCCGTCATGTTCCATGTTCACGGCACCTGTGGGTGACCCACTTGTTAGTGTGACTGTGTATGCCCTTATATGTGACTCGCATACAAGTACACACACATGCCAAACTACACATACACTAAGATATACATAGGCTAAACTACACATTCCAGCCTATATACACACACACACACCAAACTACACTTACGCGAAGGTACACATACGCCCAACGACAAACACACGCTAAAGTACACATATGCCAAACTACACACACGCTAAGGGATACTCATGCCAAGCTACCACCTGTACATACACATACACACATCACACAAAACAGTTACACACGCGCCAAGGTAAACGCCTAGGTACACACGTGTACCACAGTATACAATACACAAAACAGTTGCAAAAATATACCCCATTCACTGATCCAATGACCCATTTAAGCCTAATGCACAATTTTAATCTTCACTTGAATTTAAAAAAAAAACAACAATATAAGCATGGAACTTACAGGAGGCAGAGTGTGCTTATTCCAGGAGTTTTAACCACTAATCTGGTGACCGATGAGTTGAGGGTGACCGATGACCTGATGGTGACCGAGTGAGCTGGTGGTGACTTAATGGGCTGATGGTGACTAATGAGTTGACTGGGGAGCTGGGTGATGAATGGTTCGACGGTGAGCTGGATATCCAGGTAACTGGTGAGGCTGTATAAGTGTAGCAGGAGACCACATCGTGCTGTTGGCTGCGAGACAAACCCTATGAGCCAGTTTCCCTTGTGTTGATATCGATGGTTCAGTGGATACAGTGTGTTAGTGTGTTCTCATCTGGAGTATATGTCCTAACTCCTATTAAGTTATATATAATTTTGAAAGAATTATGTGATTGAAACTTGAGTTATTCGATTTGTTGTGAATATTCAGGTGGCAACCGCAGCAATCTTATCTAATCAGTTACGATGACTCGTACTTGGAATGAAGGACATGCTCACTACATGCAGCGTGTTATCATAACTGTTTATAGTTTCGAAATAGGAGTCAGATGCCAACAGTGGCAGAGGGCGACCGACTGCCCAAGCGGTTAAAACGGGCTGATCAGTGGCGAGGAGGATAAAAGAAAAAGTTAGTACTCGTCTCGTTATTGATGTTTGAAGAATGTTTCTAATTAAAGTATGGTCTCAATATAATTTTTTTCAGGATTGGTATTAATAGAATGTATATAACCAAATAAAGCATCTAATTAAAATAAAGCCTCGGTACTGTATAAATTAACCTCCTCACCATACGCAGTACTCAAAAGTTATTGGTTGTACGATAATTATTATACATATATGATCAGGACGGATGTGTGCGAAATGTTGAAAATTGTAATTTGATTCTTATACTTTAAATGGGATAATAATTCTTATTTACGACACATAAAAGAAGCAATTAACACAAGTACTACGACACCAAGGCTAGAGGATAAAAGTAAAGTAAAAAGATACTGTAAATTCGTCTGCTTAAAATAGTCATACAAGTGATACATTGGATCAGTATACTGTACACATAAAGACTATACAAGCAATAACAAAATACATGTCGAGTGTTGGCCACTGCGTCATATTCTGCCTCTTGGGTGTCTCACTGATCAGCTGAAGATGCCGAGATTTTCAGTCAAATGGCGGTGGTTTGTGAAAGTGCTTCTGCCACAAGCTCAATATTGGTTCATAAATATACGATCACATGTAATAATATAGTAATCCTAAATAATGTTTGGCTGCAAAAGTACTAAAAAATACTCGAAACCTCGCAATTAGTATCGAGACTTTCAAGTACAACAATTTACAATAAAGTACGACATGTTACCTGTGGCCGTGAAGGTGTGGAAAACGACAATACAGGTGTGGCTGTGGCAGAAAACTCTTCAAAATGATCTTATCAACGTTAGCTGTTGGTCTACTGGTCTTGTGCAGCATTGTACCGAGAAGTAAGTTGTTGGTGTATCAGATTTATTGCATGAAATTGTAATGAATGTTGTGTGTATTCTGTAGTTTAGAAGTGAAGGAATAGGTGGATGATGTTTTGAACTTTTGGTTACTGCCAGGAAGGTCGTTTCTGGCAATTAGGATATTATTTGGTATATTTAGCTTATTCTTTGCCTCATATAATAAACTGATGTTGAATTCAAGGGTAGTAGAATGATATTGAATAAAATATCGATACGTTACCACTCTAACCCACCTAAACTATCTTACACTCCTCCGGGAATTGCAATACAGTACTGTATACTTATTTTGGTCTTTCCATTTTTTCCTACAGAGGTTTTTAGGGTCCCTCGACTCACTACTTCCTAAACTAGCAAATCAACCCAACCAATGTTAATCATACTTCACCTTGTTAATATTGATCAGACAACTAACACCAGAAGGAATTGTTTGATTTCATTTATTTTTTTACCCACAAGTGTTGTTTGGATGACAGTAAATAATAAGAAATGTAAAAAAAAAAAAAATAAATAAAAACCTTTCATTTTAGGTATTTTGCTTTATTTTTTCCCCCTGATCATAATTCACCTGTAGTGGGCTGGGCATCAAAGAAGGGAGAAATTACCACTTCCTGGATGCCATTGCTGCTCTCTATCTACCTATGTATTGTCGTATCATTTTTTTTTTACCTATTATCCAAACATCATCTGTGGGAAAAATGACAAAATTGAACAACTGCTTCTGGTGTTAGCTGTTTCCTTAGACCAGGTCATGTTAGGCAAGGTGGTATTACCGTTCTGGTCATCCGGGTAATCTTAGGAATTTAGGTTAGGTTATAGTTCCTGGGTTTTGTGGCCAGGTTAGCTTAGGTTGGTTAGGGTAGGTTAGGTATGATCAAAATCATTTAAAATACATAAAAAAACGCTGGAAAAACATAGGGATGTCCGAAATGATAATTTTACGGGCAAGGTTAGGTCAGGTTCTATTAGGTTCTGTGAACTGTCATACCGTTTTTATTACCTACTGTCATCCAAAGAACATCTATGGAAAAATGAACGAAATTGAACAACTGCTTCTGGTGTTAGCTGTCTTCCATTACCTTAGAAGGGTGGCCACATCCATAACCCCAAAAGGAGGACAAATCAGCGTCCAGCTAGTGGTTGTGTTGGACGGAGGACAGGGAGCTAAAAAACGGACTCTGGCCTTTAACTGGATGTCTTACATCCAATGTAAGACCCAGACATTATCTGTGGTCAAGTAGAAGAGTTTACAGTGTAATGTGAGGCATAACATTTAAAGTTGAAATTATGAGTTATGTACTTTGTTTTTCAGGTGATGCAATCAAGTGTTACCAGTGTTCCACCGACGAAGACCCCGATGGTAGAGATCTTTGTGGTGCCTACGAAACATTCGATGCGGAGTCGCACATTCCTGTTGACTGCTTCCAGGAGGAGTCCGTAACCCCAGGGACATTCTGTGTGAAGGTTACAAAACAGTCTCCTCGCATGTTTATTTGTAAGTGCAGTAGTTAATTCTGTACCTGTAAATATTCAGTTTTTGGATAAATGACCTCAATTTATTTCTTTGTTCAGCATTAGCAATTACAGGGTATAAGATTAAAGACGTTAGCTATATTTACTTGGCTGTCTAGCACTGCTTATGTAGTACTAAGAATACCACCACTGCAAATGAATGAGAATCACCCCTCATGACACTGAAATTTGGCGACTTTTTTCTGTTAATGTGTTTGTGGTGAGTGTTCATTAAATTTATTATGCATTTAATGATGTTCTGTTTTGATTTGTTGAGTTAGTGTACAGGTATTATGTCTTTTGTGTTTAGTTTTGGCCAAAAGATGTCTGGAAAATTGGCTTCACACATCTTCATTTTTAACACTGTTTATGGGGAAATCACTCCTACTATACAGAATTTTGCTTCATGCATGACTTCTGCAGAATTCCTGTACATCCCTTTCATATAGTGAGAACTACCTGTACCTTGACCAGTCACTGATAACCAAATTACTACCGGTAGTAGAAAATGGTATGCAGGAGTGAACAAGAAAGTAAAGTAATGTGGGAGTTGCTTTTAGAATTATGTTTTTTATTCTTCAATGGTTATTTTGCACAGAATAGTAACACCTGATGCAAATAAAAAAAAATGATAATGTGGAGTTACTATTTAGAAGGAATCAGAAAGTCTTTGGTACAGTTTTCAACTTTAATTGAGATGCAGTTGTAATCAAATTGTTCTAGGTTTGTTGGTAGCAGCAACTCTCTGGAATGCTTAACATCCTTAGTCTGGGTACTATTGCGAGGTTCTTAGGGGCATTCTGGGAGTTTTAATACGATGTAAACAAACAAACAGTTGCCACATCTAACGGGACTGTACATGATGTGAATGTAACTTTTGCTCTAATTTTATTTTTTTGTCTTTTGCAGGGGACGGTCGATGGCGTACTATAATCCGTCGTTGTTCTTCAGTGACTGAGAGTGGTGTGACCAACATGTGCAACTGGGGAGTGGATCCCATTGGTGTATATTGGGAAGAATGTTATTGTACTTCTGATGGCTGTAATGGATCATCTGCCACTACAGCCAGTTTTCTGGTGGTTGTTACAGCTGTAATATCTCTGGTTTTTCTCAGGCAATAACAGTTACGGTAACTTGTCAAATTTCGTGGTTGTTGGATATTATTTGCATGTGAAGGAAAATTTCAGAGTGCTGTTTGTTCACACTTAACATTTGGAAGAAAAATTTGTTGAGTAGACAAATCAATTGTCATGTGAATAATTTCTGTTTACAGTTTTGTTACAAAACTATTTTTGATATGTCAGTCAACCAACTAATTCTACTACCTGTATCTTGAAGCTTTAAAATACCTGGAGATTAAATTAGTTTATATATAGATTCATTAAGGACCGTTAGTCAAGATTGCCCCAGACAGTATTTTGGTGGAATAGTATTGATTACTCAATTACTTATGAGTAGGTTTAAAAAGTATTACTCCAGGCTTCGTGATGTTGTGTAGATAATTTTTCTCATCTTAACTGCAGTATTGAATTTCACGGGGAACCTCTCCATGGTGAGGTGGCTTCTTCATAAGGACCTCCAGGTTTCTTGGTAAACATTTCTTTTTCACACCTCTCTCTATCCCCTACTCTTTTTCCCATTCATAGATAAGTAAGCAATAACCTGGTTGGGCTTGGTAATGAGTTTCCAAGGATGAAAATCAGGTGCATTTTCCAAAAAAATCTCTCCATTCTGGGCATGTGAACAAATTTTCCTGGAGTTCCGAGTGATTGCATCATGGTTCGACTCGTCCCCACATGCCAGGTGTGTGGGTGGACTAGCTGTGTGCTTGGTTCATATATTGCTGTCACTGTACAAGGTTGATCTCTCGCTTGTTGCTGTTTTTGCATAAAATTAGTGTTGTGTATGGTACTGTACATTACTGTACCAGGTCACAACCAGCCAAGAATACAGTGTTAAGACAAAAAAACGTGATTACAGTTACAGTAGGTATACCGTAGCTACTGTGCATTCAGTAGAGTGTACAAGTATGCTTACTGTAGGCTCAAGATGACAGCATCTTGTGGTGAGCACAGTATACAGTACAGTAGTAGTATACAGTACAATGTTTTGTTTATTTACAATATATTGTACGTGTACGGTGGTGTTTGTATAAATAAATACAGCTCTGTGTCTGTCCGTGTGAGATGCGTAGTTTAGACTCAGAAAGTTCCAGTCTTGGCTGTGATATACAGGTCCATTTCAAGTCTCACACACCCGTTACATATAAAAAAATTTAAATTTTTTTAAATACTGTATTTATTTTTAACAAACTTATAGATAAACTATTCAAGATTATTTTAATAAAAATTGGTGTTTCTAAATTTGAACTACATAATTTTATATACTCCGGTATAAACATTTCTTGCGTTTTTTTTTTCATAAAGAATCGAGTCCCCGTCCTTATATTGTGTCAAAATGCTATGTTTAAGGATTTTTTTTTAAATAATCTTATGCAGAATGTATTACATGTAGGATCATTATGGTACCAAATTCATCTCGCTAACACCATTAGAACAAATGCTGTGAATAAAAGTTTATACACTTTCTTATGCCATAAATTTTTTCCGGGGATGAAAAATTCATTTTGGTACCCAGAAATCTCTCATTCCCAAAAGAGCTCTGCACCAATTATTCCAGCTAATGTGGATATCACTTGTATATACCTTTCATATTTGGAAGGGAAAAATTTTTTAGTGTCAGGTTCACAATGGAAACTGAGTTGTTAACAAAAGATGAAATGCATTTGAGTTGAGACTGGTGTTTGTATACAGTAGTCATGATTAGTTAGTGGTGGTCACTACAGTTAAAAATTTATTTATAGCAGAAGCAGCTTATATGAGCTTTAGGTATACAGTGATATTTATTAATCCAAATTTTGTGTTAGAATGGCTGTAACAGGAGTCACTGTCACAAACAGGTAAGCTGAACATTTCCATTATTGAAAGTTAAAATACAGTACTGTACATAGTTTGGTGTCAGGAGTCATCAAAATAATGAACCTGCAACCTGTCAAACATTGGATTTTTTAATCATGATGATGCAAGAGTTTTATGATGGAGCAGAAGTTTTATTAGAGGCAGCAGGTTTTTAAATATGGTATAAAACTGTACCATTTTGTTTTAAATGTTTGTGATGACTGAAACATATTTGTTACAAGGGCCGTCTTTCCAGGTCTGCTTCTGCTGTATCGTCACAAACTTCCTATTGAGTTTGGTTAGTATATTATGCCTTCATACACCGACGTGATGGTTGTAATACTAATTTCGTTAGGCTCATTATTGCCGTATCCTTGCACAAAAATGCTGTAGGTTATCACATGTTAGATTGAATTTCACACAACAGTAGTTACAAGGCAGGTCTAGCTGAGCAGTCGTTGAGAGAGGTAATGGTTACCTGGTTTTCAAGAAATGAGTTTGAAAGCTGACCAGGAAGGTTAGGAGAAACAACTCGCCTCAGATGTCAGTGTTGATGGAGAGTTATTTCGGATATTCCACCAGAGTCCTGCAGCTATAGATAATTAATGGGCTGATTGATAATATATGTACAGGATATGTTTTTCAGTGCTACTGTGACTTGATATTTTACAACCATTGGCCTCATTGAGAAGTCTTCTGAGAGAGGAGATGACAATATTGTTGGTGGATGACATATTCTTAGAACCTTTATGTCTGATCTCTTGGAAATGCTTGAGTGTTCTCATCCAGTTTGTTCTATAACAGATGATAGACTTCTTGAATGTTTGGAGATGATATATAGAATTTTTGGGAATCTTGTGTGTTGACTTAAAGATTTCTATGAAATGGGTTTTTTTTCTCAGTGTATGGATCTTCATCTTTAAACAAAAGCCTCGGCAACAGTATTAGGAAGTTTGTGTTGGTACAGTATGAATCTCTGTGCAGCTAGATATGTAGATTCTCTCCATCTGTGTGTGGGATTGACAGCTTATATTACTATGGTTCCTGGAACTGGGGGGAGCAAATAGTTACAGTTCCATCCGACCATACATCCGTCCCCTTTAACCATTTGGATAAATATTTGCACAAAGGGTTAAAGTTAATAAGATGTATTATATACTAAATTCAGGTTAATTTATCAAAGGTTAGGTTTAAGGACAGGGCTTGAGTGTTCGTTAATTCTTTGGAGGAGTATTAGTCGAGTTTTACTGACCTCTTGGGCAAGTGTGTGGTTGCTCGTTGGTGATTCTTCTAGGAAGACATAGTTTGGGATATATTGACTTTTATACATATATCCTAAACTTCTGCATGTGTACTTAACCCCTTCACTATGGGATGCTACTTTTAATGTTTTATTTGACTAATGCCAGATGATTTTAAGTGCAGAGAGACACAAGGGGTTAAAGGATTAGGCGTTTTAATCCGTCAGTAAGTTCTCAGTGTGGTTGATTGTAAACATCATTGGTGAGAATAGTTGTGTCGACTGCATTGTTTAATTTGACATTTTTAGTGTTGTTTAGAAAGGTGACAAAGTTGTATAAACTACTGGATAGCATATTTTTATACGGTTGTCATTACGACAATTATAGGCAGCATTGACATTGTTCTATGCTGTGGATTATACAGTGTAGAATCGGGGTCAAAATTGTTTGATCATTGATGTAGTATATTGGTTTTATGGCCAATGTACTTGTGTCAGCATTATATGTTTATTTTAATTTCATCAAGTCAAAATTTTTTATCTGGCAGTACTATATATCATTAGTTTTTAATACTGTATCGTGCAAGTTTACTTTACGTTAGATATTTTTATTTGGTCACTGTGGTTCATGCTGTAATGAAAGTAACCCCTGTAACTCTTCAGGAAATGAAAAGTCTTGGTTATAAGGCTTGTTCATAGAAGCAGCATTTTTAATGATATTTTCAAATGCAAATTTCACAGCAATAACCAAGTGTGTTCTTGTAATCTTTGAATCTCAGTAGACACACATAACTTTATCTCCAGAACTGTGTATAAATTCTAGATGTAATTAATAAAACCCCCATAATTCATGCCCCTCAAATTCAAAATCACTCATAAGCAGTAATGGTTTGCTGTTCTCAAATATTACAAATTTGGTATTTGATAAAATTTTGGATTATGAGAGACATTTACGAATACGTATGACGCACATGTCACTGGGATGCGACCACACACCTCAGTGTAAATAAGTACTGTATACGCATGTTTGACCTGTCGTTCAGGGCCAGTTCATGTGGGTCGGTCATGGAGTGCACTTCTACTGATTGTGCAAACTTTTTCCCTCTTGTCTTTCCAACATTGCCCGGTGTTTGAGCCATTATGTCTGATAACCCTGGACCAAGCACCTCAAAAGGAGCCTCTAAGAAGAAAGCTGTCAAGTTAAGAGGAAAACACAAGAGCTTAAACATTCAAGATAATGTTTAAATTTTGATTGGGGCAGATAACAGAAAGGTACCCCCACCCTCAGGAGGTGTCCCTCATATTTCGTAAAATCTTATAATTCGTAAGGGCTAGAGCCCCTATTATTTTTAATTGTGGGGGTTTTACTGTACGTACTTGTCTTTTGGAACTAACATTACAGTAATTTACTGTGATTATCATATAAGAATCTCATGTAAGAAATTAATCGTGTACTGTACCAAAAAAAATGATTCCGTCCTCTGGAGCCTTCCATTTTTCTATTTTGGTATTATAATAAATACACAAATATACAGATATTTTGAAGTAATTTGTTTTATTTTCATTTTATTAGCCGTTCGGGCGGTTGGTCTATCCAGTGTTAGTACAAGAGGAAACTGGAGACCGGTGGAAACCTGTGGTGGTTGGTAGTGAGGGTCACACTGGATAACACCCTTCTCACGTGTGTCCAGGCCAAGGCTCGAACCCTTGACATACTGGTGAGAGATGACGCACGTTACTGCTGTACTATATCTTTCTTATTTTTGTACAGGATACTGTATGCTGTTTTCATTCTTTTTAGTGATCTTTGGATGGAAAGAATATCTAATTTGTATGTACTGATTTTGGCTGCTACACTTAAGCCACAGGTTTCATTTCGGCTTTTGGATTTCTGACTACGTATAGTGGAGTTTTAGCATTTTCTTTATATCACCTTCCTTAGCACAACAGTAGCTGAGTGATTACTTCATTAACACCTCATTATTCTGGCTCCTGTTTGATCCTACACCAATCAGCCAGGCTACCAGTTAGTCTACATGAGGGCCACTTCATTTTAGGGGGAGGCATTACATGTTACATTAAAGCTGCAGTTTATCAGGCTATTGGAACTTCTGTCATCAACAGGTTTGTTTTAAATTTGTGCTCATTGAACCACATTTTAATGAGAGGTACCGGTAGTTTTTTCTCATGTTCATCACTTTATCTTGATTTACAGGGTTATTCATCTCTCTTTATGTCCTCATTGCAAATCAGTGGGAGGTATCTTTTATCCTCTCTATCTGTCCATGCATCTCAAGTAAATGTAAATAGTATTTCTATTCCCTGCAGTTGTAGGTGGATAGGGTTGAAGTTTTTGCAGAGGTGTTTTGTTACATCCTCATGGTAGATGTGCATGTGTCAGTTAAAGTATTGGTGATAATTGTTTTTTTTTTACAGGATTTACAATACTGTACAGTAATGTTCCAAGGGTTGCTGGTTCTGACTCAGGTTATACCCCAGTACACACAGCTGTATATGGGTGCCTAATTTTAAAGTTGGAAGTGAAAGAGATTGAGTGAAGTATCTGCCACACTGGGTTGTGTATCAGGGGAATAAGTTACAATGTGCTGTATCTCTACTACTGTACTGTATACATAATGGACTGTTTGGTTTATGGAACTCACTTTCACATTGTGGATATATTTTTTGGAGAAAAGGGGGGAAGTGTAGACTTACCTGTAGTTCACCTGCTGTTGACTTGATGAATATTACTTGTGACTGAAGATGTAATTATCAAATTATATTGAGAGTTCTATGAGAAACATTCACTTTAGACAGTCAAGGTAAAGGTTCTTTTGGTAAAGATTATTGGTATGATTTTGATATTTTTGCATGCTGATTTTATGTTTCGGTATAAGTAAAATCAGTTAGCAGCATTCTTACATATTCAGCTATGAGGAATATTCTTTATACAAATCTTTGAGAACCTGGGTTGAGTTTTCTTTCAGTTGATTTTTGTTGCAGGAATCTTGTAGAATTGTCAAATCCCAGTACCTAACACGTGTCAGTTTGTAGCTGTGTTTTCATTCTTGAGACAACATGTCATTTCCAGCTTTGATTTTTATACATTTTCTAACATTTACATCAGTACTGTACAAGTATTATTATTTGTACACCAATTTGTATAAACTGTTTATTTTAGATTTGGGTAAGAGTGGTATTTTATTATCTCCAACATTGATGATTATGCCTGAAAACTAAAGACACAGCTACTACAGGTATCTTAAAGTAATTTACCGGACATATTTATTTTCATCAATTGTGTTTAATAATGAGTTGAGTAGTACAGAAGAAAATAGAAGTCCAATTATTTCTGGTTTGTGGCAAGTCTACCTTTGTGTAGTGTATGGTTTGTGTCTGCTTGGTGATCGACACATGAAAGATCGAAGCCTGTGTGGTGATCGTCACGGGTCACGTTGAGTCTGGTAGTATGCTTCAGATTGTGGTCACATTATGCCCCACGACCTCATGGCCACAACCTATTTACATACTCATCCATTCTAAAGGTTTTGTATACAGAAATAAATGCAGGGACTGACACGCTTTATTTTATCTACATTAAGGTGAACCAAAGGTATTGTTATATACGCACAAATATTTGTCTGTGTCTTAACTTATTGAGACAAGTTCCAGCCCATAGAGGAGTAGGTGGGGTGGGAGGATCCTGCTGTCACACTCTCATGCTTGTTGCTCGCCTCCGCTCACCAGTGATAAAAGAGACCCCCCAGCACAGGAGATCTACCACCATGTCACTTAACAGGAAACTTATAAACTTGTAATGAAAATGAAGCTGAAGAGAGACGGTAAGTATGGAGAGACAGTTAACAAGATGGTCTCCTGAATATTGTACTGTCCATACTCGGAGCAGCTACAGCACATTATGTTTCAGTGAGAAAGTCTGATGAATATGATCCATCAGTCTGAATTCATTAAAGCATGCAGCACAAAATATTATGTATTGCCTTGAATGGATGAGTTTCATACACTGTAAAATCAACGTCACAAGTGAACATAACCAGTCGTCTGCTCGCTGGGATGCTACTCGGCCCAGGACGGGAAGGTTGGAAACGTTTTTCACCAATCCCAAGGTTTCATCTCTGGTTAATGACATCAGAAATGCTTATCCACAGACCTGCTCGTAGGCTCGATTTGTGAATGGCTTCTTCTAATATCATTGGCCAGGGATTAAGTACACATTCGTGAACATTTTCCTGACACTTGTCTATGAATAAAATCAGTGTGGGGGGTAGTCAAGCCTCTGGTAAATAGTACCTGAACACCTAGGTATTAATCCAACATTAAACATCTTTATAGTCTTCAACCACTGAGGAAAATAATGGAAGCAGGTTGTGCTATACAAGTCAAGCTATGTATTTGAAGCCGGAGGGTCAATGTAAAAGCACCTGGAAAAAAAGTTCTGGAATATGACAATGAAACCACTACACAACTCCCTTCCAGAGAACATTGTATCTCATGCTATTTAATTACAAGCTGCAACATCTTCCTCCCTTCTGACAGAGGCTGTGTGATGAAGCTTAACTTACATCATTTCTAATAGATGAAGGGTCTACTGTATCATATATGCAATCTTACTACAGTTACAGACTGAGGAAAACAAGGTTATAAACAACTTGGTGGTGGACTACAGCAGGAGTTACGTGTGAGGTGTCGGTGCTGCGGCGGCCACCAGGCGGGGCCCACCGTCCTCAGGGAGCCGGTTGACAATGCTCGGATTTTATTGTCGTCACTGATGTTGGGTCCACCACAAGATGTGAAGATGGGGTTATTCTCTTATGTCGAGAAAAATCAAGAGAATGACACGAGGTGAGAGCATATGAGAGAACTATTGAGAGAAGAACGGCAGTGAGCAGACGAAAAGCAACCGAGAGGAGAGGGAGTCATTGTGAGAGAGGACAGAGGAGGTAAGTTGTCACATGGTAGTCATCCACAAAAATTTATCGTGATGACTCGGCCAGGTCAGCAGCCTGATCTTGGGCGTAGAGGTTGTCGTCGTGGTGGAGGTCAAGGCCATCGTCAGAGCTTCTCCTCCTCCTGCCGGGGCCGCCCGCGAAGTTGGCGGCGGCCAGACCCATGAGGTGCTTGGCTGCCTGTGACCCGCTGAAGCCACGGCCCAGACCAAGATCCAATCCTCGCTTAGCGCTGCCGGAGGAACGCACGAATCTGAGGTACACGTGAGGAAAGAGTCAGTAAGTTGAAGACGAGAGAATGTGCAGGGTCGCAGAGGCTCTACCAGGGGAGGGAAGAGAAGCTAGGCTGTGATAGTAGCAAGGGGGGAGGAGGCAAGCTTTGTTATTCATAGGACCAAGTGAACAAGCAAGTACCAGGTCAGTGGTGTTGTGGTAAGACCATCAGTCTGACAGGACTACATGCGGATGGGTATAAAGGAGACAGTCGTGACGTGTCTTACAAGGGAGGCAGGGCTCAGGGGAACTAAAGACCCGACACGTGAACAATTGGTTATGAAACACAATTATATATCGGTTAAATAACAATAGTTCCAGAATATTAGAATTCATGCAAAAACACATCAGTGAAATAAATCAAACATTCATGAGCTTGTGTATTAGTTATTTTCACAGTTCAGAGCTTTTGATGTAGGCTTATGTAGATGTCCATGCGGAAATTAACAATGATATACATTTATACATAGTAATACAGTAGTTCATTCATTTCACCTTTGAGGGGAAGAGGTGCAGATGTAAAATAACACTATCCATGGTATATTAACATCCAGTTAATTTCAAAAGAGCAACATTCCAGTAACCTACCAGCAATGAAATACTGTATTGTGAAACATGTCTAATTCCTGTATGTAATTTGTGTGGACTATTAACTACTACAAAAGATAATCACTTTCTACACCCAGGTCTGAACACTACCACAAGCTCATATTTATGTTTATCTAGCAGCCCACTACCACTAATACTGTATGCATCAACGCAAGGACATATTGACATCCTCCCAAAACCCTGCTCCCCTTCTACGTCCCTCGTCCTCTTTACACACACCCACTACACTCAGTCTCGACTTGGACATTAGGCTGGTCTCCCCTCCCACCGCTGGTCTCTGGCACGGGGACCCACTAAAATTGAGTTTCGGTACAGCTCGCACAAAAGGAATTCCCATTAAGTCCCCCAACGTCATATTCCTACAATAGATTTATTTTTATCTCCACAATATTATGGCATTTTTTAAACTATTATACTGTACATTGTTTTACCGTATACATTTTTCGAAATGATTAAATTATCAATGTTATCAGAGCTATTTGTGTTAGCTTTATAATTACTGCCAACTCCTCATCCAGCTGGATAACATCATGGTGGTCAGGGCCGGATTCAGGAGTGGGCAAAGTGGGCAGCTGCCCAGGGGCCTCCACATATTACAATATTTTATTTATTTGTTTATTCATTTGGATTATTTTTATTTTCATTCTTTAAAATTCATGGGACTTTGTACACTCAATAAATATACAGTTAATTAAAAATTTCTCAATGTTCTAATTTCCTCACTATAACTGCATATGGCTTCAAAATTCTCCAAAGAAGTGTTCAAATTTCAAATTTTTCCCGGGGGGCTTACAGCGCCTCCCGGAACTCCCAGATGTTTAGGCTCGCTTCATTCGCCACCCCACCCTCTTGGGTAGTTATAATGAGGGGGGCCTCCACAAAGAGGCTGCCCATGGGCCTCCACAGGTCTAAATCCGGCACTGATGGTGGTAGGTAGGGTGAGGACTGAGAGTGTCGTGTTTGGTTGAGAACAGAATATTAGGGGAGCCGGACCATCTGTGGCAGGGAAGTGTAAGGAGTGCTGGACCATCTGTGGTAAACAGATGTAAGGGTGCTGGACCACTTTTGGCAGACAGGTGTTGGTAAGCTGGACTCTGGCAGGTGTGGGGAATGTTGGACCTAATTTAACCTGACTTAACTTGACATAACCATCCCAAACATGACCTATTCTATAGTGACCTATCTTGAGCTCGCCTAACCAAACCAAACCTAACCATGCCTACCCCAACATAACCAAATCTATCCAAACCTATCGTAACATAATTTACCGGATATTCATTATTACCTAAAGTGCAAGACTGTTCACATATAGAAGCAGGCTTCATATTTTATTCCAAAATTTATAATCAATGACTTGAAAATTTATATACCTCAAAAATTTCTACCCCAGGGCTGTTCTGCACATCCGCGGCCATGCGCAGAACCAGAAAACCCGTTCTGCGCATCTAAACCCATCAGGACACCCAACTCTCCTCAAAATATCGTCTTACAAATGGCGGCAGGTAATTTTACTTATTGCTGGTTCACTAATGTCTAAGGTACATAATTTTTTCACCACAACACTTGGCAAGAGTACTGTAGTCACTGCCGAAGCAACAGGAATACACCTAAGCTTATACTCTGCACTCACTTTTCTAGCTCATTGGCCCTTATGATGGAGTGCCCCAATCTCGTCAGCAACTCCAACACGTAGTCCGGGTCCTCTATCTGCACCACCGCGCGCGCCTCTCTGTAACAACACAATACACCAAGTTACACCCAATATATCACATAGTAGAAAGTAGTGATGAGATGAACGGTGACTAATAATAATATATAATGATAATAGTAATATTAGCGATGATAATACTGTAAAACCTCTATTTAATAGAGTATGTGGAGAGGAAGTCCGTTATATTAAGGGTCCGTTAGATATGAAACCTCCAACTAGTGGATTATATATAGAGAAGTCCGTTATATGGAGGTTTCACTATAAATAAAATTATCAATAATGTTAATAATGCATCAATATTATACAAGAATGGGGGAAAGGAAACAAGGGCAAGAAGGAAGAATCTTAACAAGTTTTATGAGGAAAACAATCTAGAAATCGAATGTTTTGTTCTGCGGGGCGAGGCAACAAAGATTGTGTATAACAATCGGCTGTCTTGTGGAGGAGAGGCAAGGAGCAGCATCTTTAAAAAGTGAGACTTAATGAAAAACGACCTGGAAAAGCTTGGAATATATTTGGTATCTTCAGTGATGTAATTAAAACGTCGCTTAAGTGAGACAAGGTGTATTTATGAATGTTTATACTAAGATAAAATGTTACTTCGCTCGAGGTAAACAAATGACGTTTACATGTGACGGGCAGTGGACAGCATTGAACTTGTGCGGGAGACGTGAGACGTTCCCGCCCTCCACGAGTCTTGGCGGTCACTCCTTCAACAAGTGTGTGACCGTGAGTAACTCGCTGCCCTCCCCGGGGTTACAGGAAGCAAGTGTTCCTGTCTAAGGAGTTTTAATAAGTCAGCGGCGAAACAGCAAACTGACAAGAAGACGACTCATAACTTGCAGAGGTGAGGTCGGCGGCGTGATTAAGTAAGTTATTGGTGGTTGAGGGAGGAAATGGAAGACCACTTTAGCTTTTTTCCTTTGTTTACGTCTACTAAGGTGAGCCCAAGATCGAGATGGTGATGCTTATGGGCTTAATGGTCTTAGTATTTGGCAGAAAACTTGTATGTGTGTGGGAGAGCAAACAAAGACGTGTATGAATACCCCCGTATGGTACCAGAATGTTAACATCAACATTATCAGGTGTTTTACGCTAACACCTGACAGTTATGAAAGAGGGGTACCCAAAGAACATATTCTGTAAAGTTTCAACATAAATGGGTGATTGTTTTATGAGGAAGGTAGAAGTTTTCATAGATTGTGATTAACTAATAACTACCATTTACGTAGTGTTAATAAGTTCTTATTAGCCAAGCACTACCAATCACGGAGGTGGAAGTGTACGTAGTTTCTGATTAGCCAAACACTACCAATCTGGGAGATGGAGGCACCTGCGTTTGTTTTTTATTTGAACTTTTCTCAAACTAGGAAGTTGGTTAAACTAGGAAGTTGGTTGTTCGGGCTGCCTCAGGCAGTGCTGGAGACAAAATAATTTTTTTTTGTGTTTTGTATAGAGACGAAGGACTAAAGGAAGTGGGTAGATAGAAAAATAAAGGGAAGCTACGTGAAAGAGAGATAAAGAAAGGCTGGGAATGTGTGTCGGATGTAGAAGAGGGGGGGGGGGGGAGACGAGACTGTCAGGGACCGCCGACAGCCTACATCTTACAGGTAAGTGACGATCCTTTGCTAGGCGAGAATTAGATATCTATCCAGTAATTCACTCACACAAATTGAAAACTGTTGTCGGCTGCCCAAGCTTGTTTATGTTTGCTAGGGAGCCATGTTGTCTCCCGGCCACCTCGTCGTCGCAACTTGTCTACCCAGACCCGCTTTCACTTATTAGTTTCTATAATTGTCGAGTTATCAGAAACTAAGATGAAAAATCAAACATTTGACCAATATTCACCGTTATTTGGCACACTGAGGAAAGATTACTTTATTTTAGTTTACTTTTTTGTTTCTTGTGGATGTCAACAATATTTTTAGTTTTGATTGATTTTTTCAGATTTAACGAATGTTTATATGGTTTGCGTAAACAGATTCGTGATTGGTATATTTGTTTAACGTGGTAATTTTACTTAGCTATTAATGTATCTTGCAGTCGATAGTTTTTTTTTCAAACGTATAAAAACAAAGATATTCATTTGAGGTATATGTAATATTTCATCGTTACTTGTATTGTTCACAATTGTTACAACAATGTTCTGTATCTTTGTATACCAGCAAGAGAAAAGGTCGGCTGGTGGTGTAGAGGCTAGTGGTCAACTACGCAGAGAAGTAAACCCAGACTTGTGGTTTTGTTTCGTGTCAAGTGTTGAGTAGACAGTCTTCAGTAACACCAGGGATCCTCACAGGCTGCATGGGTGCTGGGTTACCCTTACGCCCCCAGCAACACTACACGTAAGGACGGTCACTAAATCTATCGAAGGTCAGCGTCTGGGGCTGAATGATTTAACGAAGGTATCTTGGCTGCTGTGGCAAGTGGGAGGTAAGGAGGGCGGGGGATGACCGTATAGAGTAGGTACTGGAAGTGGTTTTCAAGCTGCCTCTCCAACTGTTACAACTGCGATTACTACACCTCACCATGTTCTCATATCTCCGGACAGTAGCAAGACTAGTTAATTTTTCTTTTATCAGTTAGTTTCTATTTGTCTTCTTCATTATTCGGGTAAATAACATTACGTTTGCTGAATAATACTAAACGCAAACAAAGATTTTTGGTTGCAAAAAATTTAAGTTTCCCGGTTAGTCTGCTGCTTGTGGTTCATAAGCATCCACTCATCAGCTGTTCTCTTGACTCGCTCCCTCCCTCCCTGCCTGCCGCAACAGCCACTGCGTTAACAACCGTATCACCACGGGTTATGGGCTCGAGTCCTGTTTCCAGCAGATGACTAAACGCGGGTCAGATCCTAGTAGGTGTACCTTGGAACTAACCTGGAAGTCCTGTGATAAACTTTGTGAAATTACTTCTAAGTTTGTACTTAAGAGGATGACGTCGTGAAACCTTAATAAAAGAGAAAGAAAGGCGCTTGATAGATGCAAATGGGAAATTAAAATAATTTACGAATTCGAAAGGAAATTACTTTTTGGAAAGAAATGAGAAGAATAAGCAAGAATAGAGACAAAAGGGAAAATGCACAAAGGTTAACAAGAGCTGTAAAGGAAGAGAGAGCGATCTGGAATTAAAGGATAATGTTATAATAAAGAGGAAATATGAGGTGGGAAGGGAAATGCAAGGCTCGGAACAACTGACTTTATGTGAGGTCTGTGTACAGTATGCTGAAGGCAGGTCAGGGGTGATGCCAGCTGGCCTTAATTTGTTTACTTTGCATGATAATGAACGATCAGGGAGTTTTGTGTCAGCGAATTGAAAGAAATATTAATACGATTTTCAGACTTACGATAAATATTTCACTTTAAGTTATGTAAAAAAATTGTTCTAATCGCCTTAACTCAAACCGTTAAAAACATAACACTGTTTTGTATGTTAATTTATAGTTAGTTCAAGAAAGGAGCTTGGTAGTGGATCACTTGACGGTTAGGTTAGGTTAGCGTTGGTGGGTTTAATCAACAGGTGAAATAAGCTTGGGTGTCTGTTCTTCAGGTGATTGTTTGATGCTTGAGAGGTGTTACGGGCAGGTTCATTTCATTATCGTGAATTAAAATGATCTCATACCATTTATTACGAATCTGAAGCCAGAACATCGGCGTTGGAAGGATTTTTTTTATCGAGTTAAAGTTAAAAATTTTCTCAAATAAAACCTGTATTTTGTTTGAGCGTTATTTGTGGAAAAATATATATGGAGTGCATGTTAATTTGTCCCTTGAAGTAGTAATCAGTTGTACTAAGCGCGAGGCATCAAAACAACACATCAAAGGAATAGCGTAGGAGAGGGTGCAGCTGTAGGGGGTACTCAGTGGTTGGGGTGTGGGTAGGGGAGGGGGGGGGGGGGTATTAGGGTACTCAGTGGTGGGAGGTGTGGGTGGGGGTAATCATGGGGGAGGGGTGTGGGGGAAGGGAGCACGTCCGTGCTGTCCCTCCCTCCCCCCCAGGATTCGTCAGTTGACACAGTTGGCGAGAATGGAACATAACATACCATTCAGACAATTTAGACTTTACATATATATTTGCCATTTAATTTCCAAGGGAATGGCGGCCAGGCGACTAGAGTAATCGGCTTTCCCGTTCACAAACACTTTATAATTTCTTGCTGTATCAGTGTGGCCACCTCTTATAGTAGTCTTAGGTCGACGTTTCCGCGCTAATGAATATAATTCAGCCTTCATTTGCAAGGGGGAACGTCCAAGTCAAAAGGAAAGCTGTGGAAACGAGATGGGATGGTAGATCGCTTCGAGGGAACATGATACAAAACAGACACGTAAAATATCACCTTTACGACGCTTTTTTTTTTTTTACTTTGTATGAACGCTATTTAGATTTCATCCTCGCATTTATTTATTTCGTTCGCGTGTGAATGCGCTGCTCATTAAAATAATTTCCTTTTCTGCTACATAATCTTCTTTTTGGAGTTAATTTTTATTTCTTGCATTTACGAAGACACTTAATATTTTTCCGTCTGTATGAATTAAGTTAGTGAGATAACTAAATTGTGTTATTTATAGTTATTCCTCACTAAATTAATTAATTTCACATTTTTATCTTGCTGTTTATTGTAAGGTTAATGTTTATTAGATAGACCATGGTGATGCAGTTAATTAGCTGTAAGATGGCTGCTCAGTATACTTGCATCTAATTATGTTCATTTTGTGCTTTTGTGGCTGTGCTCCATCATTTCATTGGTCATTACACGTTTTACTTGCTGAATATACTTCGTTCAGCTGTTGATGACTATGATGACCTTAGTTGTGAAAGGGTATTCGTGCATAGTAACTAATTGTGGGGAAGCCGTGTTCACAAATCCGATTTTCTCTTAAAACTGATATTTTTGTTATTATCCACATTTCACATACTTCTTTATTGTCAGTTAAGTCATTATACAATATGAAAACTAGTGCATTTGATTAATTAACATTATTCACTCTTAATGTACAGTATTTACGTGCGTAGTGCTTCAT